TCTTCCAGAGGACCCAAGTTCAATTCCCAGCAACCACGTAGCAACTCACAAGTGTCTGTGACTCCAGTTCCAGGCATAGGACACCCTTGTACAGATGAATGTGCAGGCAAAACACCAATGCACATAAAATAAAAATAAATAAATACTAAAAATAAAAAGAATCGTAATGTAAAAAATTGTGGAGATACAGGGTTTTTCGTGGGGCTGAGACGAACCAGTTGAGAAACACTGCTCTAGGCTAATAATTTAGAGTCTACCCTCAGCCTTCCAGAGTAACATTCCATTCTCGCACCACCCTCCCTTGGGGACCTCCACACTGGAGAGGAGGGAGGCTGCTTTTCTCTTTCTCCATCTTACCACTTCAAAGCGTTTGTAAGATGCTCTTTGGGGAAAAGAAACAGCATCTTTAGAAGCTGCTGAGTTCCACAGAAGACACAAAGGCACCATTTTTGCCTCTGAGTTCAAAGTGAATTTGTGATTTCAAGATGTTCAGGCAAAAGTAGTCTGTAGCCATTACTAGTGATGGTAAAAATAAAAACAAGAAAAATGCTCATAAATAGAAAGAGCATTATTCTTCTTACAGCAACTGATGGATGCTACAGGAACCAACAAAGCCAAGACAGTCTGTGAGTGAAATAAACTGGAGCATATCTAGGATAATCCTAGAAATGGTGGTGGTGGCAGTGGTGGTGGCAGCTCCTTCTCCTTCTCCTTTTCTCCTCCCCCACCCCCTCCAGAGAGGGTTTCCTGGCAGACCAGTCCCACCTCTGGCTCTCAAGTACTGGATTAAAGGTGTGTGCCACCATGCCCGGCTTGAGTTCTCTCTCTTTTTTTTAAAGATGTATTTATTTATTACGCACACAGTATTCTGCCTGCATGTATATCCGCAGGCCAGAAGAGGGCACCAGATCTCATTATAGATGGTTGTGAGCCACCATGTGGTTGCTGGGAATTGAACTCAGGACCTTTGGAAGAGCAGTCAGTGTTCTTAACCTCTGAACCATCTCCCTTGAGTTCTCTTTTCAAAAGCTGTTATGTTTTTATTTTAAGATAGGCTGTCCCCTACTTATTGCATAGCTAAGGATGACATGAACTCCTGATCCTCTGCCTCTGTCTCCTGAGGGCTGAGAATTCAGGCCTTTGTGACCATACCTGGTCAGGGCCTTCTGCCTGCTAGGCAAACATACGTCTCTAGCCTCTTTCCAGTTTTATGCCTGTCTTAATTCTTTGGAACTTTCTCATCATATGCATGTGTTATTTTTGAAATGCCAACCCTTCAAGGAAACTATTACTACTCCCATTTTAGGAATGTGGGGATCAAGGCTTAGTGAATGTTTGCTGTGATCGTCTGAGTCATGTGACCAGTGCAGGCATGTCTGCAGCCAGGCAGAGCAAGGACTCTGCTGAGACCCTAAAACAATTGAGGCTACACTCTACCCAAAGTCTGGTTTTTGTTTTTTGTTAGTTTGTTTCTGGTGCTAGGAACTGAACCTTGCTTGGTACACAATAGACAACCACTGAGCTGTAACACCAGTCTTACCCAAGAGTTTGCTATTGGTTCTGGGAGAACCAGAACTCTTCAGGATATACAAACAGCAGCTCTGTGGATAGGAATTTGACCCTGCCTTTAAGGTAACATTTGTTCATTTGTTTGTTAAGTTGTTTTTTTTTTTTTTTGGTTTTTTTTTTTGAGACAGGGTTTCCCTGTGTAGTTTTGGAGGCTGTCCTGGAACTAGCTCTTGTAGAACAGGCTGGCCTCAAACTTACAGAGATCCTCCTGCCTCTGCCTCCCGAGTGCTGGGATTAAAGGCGTGCACTACCACCACCTAGCTTGGCATATGTTTATTTTTATAACATCATTTTATTTCTCTTTTGCAGAACTGAGGGTTGAGCCTTGGGGGTACTCTCAGAGAAGGTGGGAGACCCTGAATTAACTCTCAGAAGACAGGCTATATTAGAATAACTTCAGCCATATGCCATGGTGAACTCAATTTAATTTAACTAATTGGAAATTGGTTGGATCCCTAGGGCACTGGGTGGAGGGCTGGCTTTTATTTAATTTAAACCAGGAACTCTGGTATGCTTTCCTTTTATCTTAGCCCTCATTTTCTCAAGCATAGAGATGGCAATATTAGTTCCGGGGTCCATGTCCCACATCCTGCAACCTCCATGGAGGAAGAGACTGCCATTTGTCTGGACTTTACAAGGAAACATCCCATATCCCAGTGGTTGGTCCCTGAAAAATCCTTATACCACAGCCCAAAGTCTCAGGGTGTGTGTTGTGGGGTTAGGGAGTAGTTCCTACTTTCGAAGATTACCAAATTCAATCTCACTGTCCAACCTGGATTCACCAATAACATCCTCCAATGACCAGGGTTAGGCTCAGCTCTACTGTTCAGAACAGCCTCACCCCTGCCATGCTTCTTTCACATACAGTGACTTAGCTTCAGGGTCCATCATTCTCACCATTATTTGTTCTCTGGATGTGGTTAGTGCTCTTCTGTAATCCCAGCCCTGGGGAGGTAGAGACAGGAGGATCCCTGGGGCTATCTAGTGGGCCAGCCTAGCTGAGTCAGTGAGCCCCTGGTCAAGGATGAGTCCTACCAATAGGAAAACTGGGGAGAAGTCCCCACTGGGCTCTTTGTAGGATCTGAGAGCAGAGATGATCTGTGCCTCATTTCCATTAAATAACTGATCATAAGGGGCTCCGTGATGAATCTAGGGACACAGATCTTTAGGAGCCTTCCAGAATGTTCCAGGCTCAACATGCTATCTGAACAGCAGAATGATTCTAGTACCAACAGCAATGCAGGAAAGACACAAGTTTGAAAATCTCAAGAATTTTCCTGTGACTTAGCATAGCAAAGAGACAACATGATTGGCTACTGTGCTCAAGAGGAGGCCAGATATGGAGAGAGAAAGCAACGGACAGAAATGAGCATGGACCTGTGTGGCTTACCAACTGAGGACTGGATGGGTGATGGATGCCTGTACTCTCAGATGATGATTGCAGACCAGACTCTCATTCTTACATCAGATCTCAGCATTATGTAAGTACACTCTCAGGGGCCAGGAGATGGTTGTCAGTAATGTGCTTGTGCAAGCATGAGGGCCTGAGCTCGGGTCCCCAGCATCCAAGTAACAGCTGGATATGTGTGCCTGTGACACCAGCACTGATAGGGGTGGGAACCAGGAGATTCCTGACACTCACAGGCCAGCCAGTTTAGCCAAATTGGTGAGCTTCATGTTTGGCAAGACACCCTGTCCCCAAAAGTAAGGTGGAGGGCTAGAGATGGCTCAGGGGTTAACAAGCTCTGGTGTTCTTCCAGAGGCCTGGAGTTCAGTTTGCAGCACCCATGTTGGGCAGCTCACAGCACCCCTGTAACTCCAACTTTAGGGGATCCGATGTCCTCTTCCAGCCTCCACAGGCACCTGCACTTACTTTCACAAGCAGTCAGCCACGCTGATACACATAACTCAAACAAACAAAATGAATATTTAAAATGCTAGAAATTCAGGAGATAAAAGCTTAAAATGAGAGAACAGTTGAGAAAGACGTTGATATAAACCTCTGCCTCCACGTGCATGTGCACGCACACACAGACTACACACAGACACACACACACACAGACAGACACACAGACACACACACACAGACAGACACACACACAGACACACACACACAGACACACACACACAGACACAGACACACACAGAGACGACACACACATGCACACACACATGCACACACAGAGACAGAGAGACACAGACAGACAGAGAACATTTTAAAATGCATAACACTGTCCCTAGTGTCCCTCCAGAAAAAGTTCCAGAGGGAGCCGTGAGGCCACCTGGGTTGCATTAACAAGACGCTGGTTCTGCCCAGGTTTTTGGGACTCTAGCACCCATTCTGTTCTCCAGCTATGGACAGGGTGGACAGAGCTTCTGTGCTCTGTGTCTGGTGACAAAACAGAGGCCACTTTCTCAGTGTCTGGACCACTCAAGCCCAGGTTACCCCATTTGCAACTTATCAGTGGTAGGTTTCATCTAGGGCACTCCACTCAACCTCTTCAAAGTGTTTTCATCCCTTTGATATGTTGAAAAAAGATAACACTTAACCTCATGTACCAAACAAATTTGCTCTGCAGGGATGGCAGCCAAATGCACCCTAGGGTCAAGGTGCACAGCCCTTGTTATGTATCCAGTAGGCAAGGGAGCCAAGAAGCAGGGTTACATGGAACATAACTCCACAGCCAGAGATGAAAACCAGTCACCAAAGAGGTATACATTACCCAGCTGAGGCCAGTGCCTTCTGCTGATTCGCCTTGCCCAAGGGGATGGGTGGGTGGGGGTGGGGCTGGCAGCAAGAGCAGATGTGGGAACAGTGGTCAAGGAGCAGGTGCAGGCAATGGGGGCAGGGTGAGGGCAGGGCAGGGCAGGGACCGGTAGAACACTCTGTTAAATGGGAAACCACAGTGGTTTCAGAACTGTACAGCTCTGTCCCTGCTGGAGGCTACCACAACTGCGATGACCACAAAATCAGAGCTATCCCACATGGTCTGTCTTCTTGGGATTGGAAGTCTGGGGACACAAGGAGCAGGTAGTGAGATGACAATAGTAACCACTTACTGAAAAGCTGGTACCTGCCAGACCTGAGCTTTTCACAAGTCTTCTCACATGTCAGCTGTGGCTGCTGGAATCCAGAAACGATAAATGTTAGTCCTGTCCCCATCACTTGGTATTTTTATCAAGTTACTTAGCCTATTTTTGCCTCTGTTTCCTCATCTGCAAAACAGAAATAATAAAACGATTCATCTCACAGGGCTGCAAGGGGCCACCTGCTCAGCTGCCTACGATACATTTTGCACGGTGTCTGGGAGATATTGAATACTGCATAAGCATGATATCAGCACACGGGAATGGCTAAGCCTAGCCCACTCCCACGATGTGCATACGCTAGCCATAGTGTACATACGATAAGCAACTTCTTAGTGGTTTAAACAAGGCAATTTATTTCTAATATAACTGTCCAGAGATAAGAAGTCAGATAAGGATGGGGTTGGGGATATGCTATGATCTGACTGTGTCCCCAAAGTTTGTATGTTGGAAAGGTCTACCCTATATAACAATACTAAGATGGGACTTTTGGGACCTTTGGGAATGGATGAACGCCACATTCATGGGAGTAGGCTGGTTATCTTGAGAGCGGGTTTTCCATTTGAGTTCAGCTTTCTCTTTCACTAAAACATGTTCCCTTGTCCTTCTGCCTTTTGCCATGAAGTCCCTGATGACTGAAGGTTCTTGGTCTTGGATGAGAAATAAATTTTATTGCGAATTACCCATCCAGGGATATCCTGTTAGGGCAAAATAGATAAAGACAGTTAAGTAGATCTAGTTGAAGGTAGAAGAGGTTCTGCCATTTTCAACCTGTGTCTTCCTTCATGGTGATCTAATGGTTGCTACAGTGCTGATTATCATATCATAAGCCCCATCAGGAGCCTAGAGGATGTTTCTCCCTTGTAAGGGCACCCTTATGAAGTTACTTGTGATAATGCTGCTGAAATCTCATTGGCCAGATTTTGTCACATGGCCACACAATCTGCAAAGGAAGCTGGGAAATATAATTGTGGGATCTTACTGATAGAGGAAGAAACAAAGACAAAATCCATGGGTTTGCCTTCTCCACAAGAAGAAAATGTTCATATCTCCTGAAGAACAGTGAGTCAGCTCCAGCTGGGCACCAGTTCTCTGAGGCATGGGTATCCCATTACCAGGTGGCCCTGCTCTGACGGCCCATAGCCTAACAGGCAGAGAGCCCGTCCTTCATACTACTCATTAATGACAGTGGAAGAGAAACAGGATGAATGTAATTAAGACATCCCAGAATAGGAAAGGATGACAAAAATGCAGAGTCCACTGAATAGTAACAACCTCTGAGTTCAGGCAATGCTCCTAACTACTGCTGTGTCTGTTCTCTGGGACCTCACCTTCCCATACAGGGAGCTTTGCCCATGAGAAGCTGATCCTCACTCAGTATCCACTGCAGCTGTGTGGGGTGGCATGCCTTTCTCATAGACATTCCAGTTTTCCCAGATGTTTTCCAGCTGTTGGAGACATGCAGGATGGATAATAACCAGAGAGAAGGGTCAAGTAAGGCCTTGATGGTCAGGTTTATGGATTCTTTGCCAGTTTGATATCCTCAAGACTCTTAGAAGGCTGTTTGGTTCCAGATTTGAGTAACTACAGCCAATGGAATCATGTAAGCATTGCTGACATGCCAGGATTCTCTAGACATGGAGTTCTTGCCTGTTCTCTCTCAAACTGGTACGGCTTTCTGGAAAAACAGGAGGAACTCACATTTCCTTGGCACATTTGTTGTTGGTGTTTTGTTTTGTTTCTCCGTCTAGCCCTCACTGTTTTGAAACTCTACTTTGTAGAGTAGGCTGAAATCAGAGATCTGCCTGCCTCTGCCTCCCAAGTGCTGGGACTGCAGACATGTGCCACCACCAGGCTGGTTCTCTCTGTCTCTTTGTCTCTCTGTCTCTCTGTCTCTCTCTCCGTCTCTCTGTCTCTCTCTCTGTGTCTCTCTCCTTCTCTGTCTCTGTCTCTCTCTCTCTGTGTGTGTGTGTGTGTGTGTGTGTGTGTGTGTGTGTGTGTTGTTTGGAACTCTCTTTGTAGCCAAGGATAGCCTTAAACTTCTGATCCTCCTGCCTCCACCTCCTGAGTGATGAGATCACAGGTGTGCACCACTAGCTGATTTTATGAGGAGCTGGGGATCAAACCACGGCTTCTTCATTCCCGTATCTCTTCCCATCCCCTTCGTTTTCTTTCCCTTTTCTCACTTTGCATGCTGCAAGGTTCTCACACATTTGATGTAAACGCTCTCTATCATTGAACTCCATTTGTAGCTTAGAAATCCCCTATTCTATGTGAGCCCTCTGACAAATCCCACTTCTTTGGAACCACCGGGGCAAGGACTAGAGTCCAAGCCCCACCCTTGTTGCCTCTTCCAACCTCCCCTGCCCCCCACTGATAGCCTGAGTGCATCTCTCTTGTAGGACTCCGATAGTAACAGCAGTAGCTTGGGTGTTCACGCTGGTTCCATGAGATACCAGCTCTGTGAACCATCCCCAAAGGCCTGCAATACAGTGGAGTTGGAAAAGCCACCCCAAGTCCCCCAGCATACCTCATGTCCCCTTCACAGACTCAAATCACACCCCTGCCTTCTCCCGCAACGCTCCAGTCTCCGTATTCCGCACAGGACCTCTTCCTCTAGCAAGTCTTCCCCAACTGTCTGATGCACTCAGATCTGGTACACCCTGCACCATGGCGTGTGTCGGGTGCCTCCTCCTTGGGGCAGAGCTGCCCTTCCATGTGCAAATATCTTTCAGCTCATTTGATTGCTGGCCCCTGGGTGGCCAAAATATGTTGGCTGGATGTGATGAAAAGTCCCTCTGGGGATCAGCCAGACCCAGTTAAGGTCCATGTTGGTTGTTTGCTTGCCAAATGACCTTGGAAAGCATGGCCTGCTTTCTCTGAGTTCATTTCCATGCCTGGATGATTGAATGAAAACATTCTGTAATAGAGACTGCCAAATGGGCCTACTGTCTAGTTTTCTTTCCTTTTCTTTTAGAGGTAGAATTGAATGAATTTCAACTAGAATGGCTGCCCACAATAATGACTGAGATCCTCAGCTCCCTGCCCCTTGAAGCCAAACATGGCCTCGTGGCTAAATATGGCCAATTAGACATGAGTGGAAGTGAGGGAGTAGCTTCCACTTCAGGGCTTAGAAGATGCATGAATTTATTTCCTTTTCCCTTTTCTGGCTGGATTACTAGTGCAAGGGTAAGGCAGAAACTATAATGACCATCTTGTATTCAAGATGGAAGATTCTCTGAATGACTTTACAGCCACCCTATTAGCTCTAGACTATCTATAGACTATTATTGTTTGAAGCTCCCTCCCTCCCCCACCTCTCTCTCTGTATAATATGTGTGGTGTATGCATGCATTCCCAGAAGCCAGAGGAAGGTGTTGGGTGTCCTGTTTTATCAGTCACCACCTTACTTCTTCCTGAGATAGAGTCTCTCACTAAACATGAAACTAGTCTGGAGACCAGGAAGGCCCAGTGATCCTTCTGTTTCCACACCTCCACAGAAAGTGACCACATCCAACTTTTTTATATGGGTTCTGGGGACTTGAACTAAGGTCCTCATGATTGCAAGGCAAAGTGGTCTTACCCATTGAACCACCTCTCAAGCTCCTGAGGCATTGCTTGTTTGTTTTGGAGACAGGATCTCACAATGTCCTGGAACTCACAGAGATCCACCTTCCTCTGCCTTCCTGGCTCTCCCGAGGCATTCTTAAATTGGATCTTTGTTACAGCAACCAAATGTCTATCCTAATTTTGTGTATGGAAGTGATGCTACTTAAAAACCTAAAACAAACACTAGTTTAGAGACTAGCAACTAGCAAGGAAAATACTGCACACTGGCAAGCTGCAGACCACTGTCACATTTCCGAAAAATGTGAGAGGTGTGGCTGTCATCTTAATGCCTAGGCAGTAGAGCGCATGCTGATGGACTCCGGTTCTTTGAGGTGGCCCCATTTGCTGGGCCTCAGAAGTTCCACTATTGGCAACTGATCCAGGCTCCATGAAAAGTCAAAGCCTCAGAGACAGTTGCAGGTGCTTTGAGGGAGGAAAGGAAATATGTTCAATAAATCCAGCAGGAAATCCAATAGTCCTTTTCTGAGTGTCCACTAGGGCCAGGGGGTCCGGATGGAAGAGACTGGAATGACAAGGAAGGGGAGGGACAGGGAGAGGGAAGCCAGAGCAGCTGGGTCAGGTCAGCGGTTCACATTTGGACTGTGACTCAGGCCCTAGGAATGCCATAAGGGAGTGAGCCGCCACCGGAGGCAGGCTGGGTTCCCCTCTGGCATAGGAAGATGCACAGCCAGTACTCAGTGGGCTAGGGGTTGGGCTCCTGCACACCCACTCATGTCCCAGCCACAGGTCGACTCAGGTATTGCTTCCTCTGCACACAGATACGGGCCCATGCTCTCAATCCCATCCTGCCCCTTTGAGATGACCAGCAGAGTGCCCACCTGCCGGACCTGCCCTCGCCATCTCTTTTCATCTTTCTCCTAGGAAGGGTTGCAGGACTCAAAGGGGCTATCTAGACATACCCTGGCTGCTCTCTCAGGACCGCCCACAACCCCCTCACCTATCTCCAGCCTCGAGTGTATCCCTCCTAACTCATCCCACCCTGGGCTAGGGAAGTTTGCACGGAGGAGAAAGTGAAGACGGCCAACTTTCCTCCTTGGAACTCTCAATTCGAAGATGAGAGTTCCGTCTCCGCAGCGCCCCCAAGCCGCAGTGAGAGAACAGCTGCGGGATGAACGTTCCCTCCTGAGACCTGACAATCAGAGAGAACCCGATCCCTGAGGGCCCGCTGCCAGAGGCCAGCCCAGAATAGTGCCACCCCGCTGCCGCCTGTCACACACTTGACACTCTAGCGGGCTAGGGCTGGCCGCATGGAGCCTGAGCTGGAACACACACTGCCTGGGGTACCGGGGTCCCAGGGGGCCGGCGCTGGGATGTAGGAAGACAGCAAGAATGTGGCCGTGTGTGTGTGTGTGTGTGTGTGTGTGTGTGTGTGTGTGTACACGCTTGCTGTGCACTGTACTCTGTGGGTGTGAGTGGGCCAGATCTGTGTATGTATGTATTTTGTGTGCCTGTGTGGGATTCTGTGTGTGCCAGGAGTGTGCAAATGTGTATGTTGTGCGTATCTGTACACACGTGGTGTGTGGGTAGATGTGCTTGTGCTTTTTAAAGGGGACAAGCCAGGGACTTTAGAACAGACAGCATTTTCACAACAATTCAGACATTCTCTTCCATAGACCCTGGCCTGGAGCCACAGTGGGGATCCAGAGGATCAAGGTAGGTGGAGTGCTGCTGCCTGAGGGTCTAGCCTTGTCTCTAGAGGGTCAAGGTGGGTGGAGTGCTGCTGCCTAAGGGCCTAGCCTTGTCTCTAGAGGGTCAAGGTGGGTGGAGTGCTGCTGCCTGTGGGCCTAGCCTTGTCTCTATAGCTCCCTCGTCTCCTCCCTTTCCCCGACCCCAATCCCTAACTCCTATCTTGGCTTTTGTCAAGAGAGAACCTTTCCCTTCTCTGCCTTCTCCCTCTTCCTTTCCCCAGTGTGTGTTCCCACCTTCCCTTCCCTCTTTGATGAGTATCTGAACTCCAGGGCTAACCTTACCACTATCCCAGCTGTGTGATTTGTGGCAAATTGCATAACCTCTCTGAGTTTCTGGTCTCTTGCTGCTAAATAGGAATGCTATTCCTATTTACAGTATCTGCCTTGGAAGATTTCTATGAATAGAAAATTGAGAAATATGTCTGGGGGGGTGGTTTTGAAAGCTTCCAATATCGTCGTTAATGACATTGTGCTTGGCTTTGTTGTAGCCCCTACTAACCAAACAGATCCTTTCCTTCCAGAGATGAACTTCCTAGAACAAGGAGAAAACTCATGGCCGTCACCAGCTGTGGCCACCAGCTCAGAAAGAGCCTGTGCAGCGCGGCTTGTCAAGGCTTCCAGGTGGACAAGGCAGGAGGCTGTAGAGGAAGCAGAGCCACCAGGTTTGGGAGAAGGTGAGGCCAAAGTCAGTTCTGGTGACAGGGGGCAGCAGGAATTCCGGAGTGGGACCTGACCTGAGATCTCTCCATCACATGGAGCTTGATCAGTCTCTCATCTTCTGGCCTTGGTCTTCCCACATGAGAGGCAGTAACTGTGCTGCTGATGCAGGGCCCTAGTGCAGCCGCCTTGGAAAGATGGAAGAGAGTTGCTGTCTGCTAGGACTCTGAGACTCCACAACATCCCAGCGCCCCAGTGCCGCCAAGCCCTGAAAGCAAGAAAACGTGCTTTGGAATATGCAGTGATTCCCCTCCCTGCCTTCTTCCCCAACAGGTGCCCAGTCCAGACCAGCTGCTGAGTCTGCCAGGGAGGAGGCCACATTCCCCAAGGCCACACCCTTGGCTCAAGCTGTTCCCTTGGCTGGAGCACAGACCTCCCTTACGGAGTGGGACCTCCTCTTGCCCAACTGTGCAGCCTCAGCAGTGGGCTCCAGCACAGGTGACCTAGAGCTGGCCATGGAGTTCCCAGACCCAGAGGCCTGGGACTGTGAGCTCGAAGGCCTGGGGGAGGACAGGCCTCAGCCTCGCCCATCCCCACAGGCCCCACTTCTCAGCTTGAGTTGGGATGATGAGCTGCAGAAGCCTGGGGCTCAGGTCTATATGCACTTCATGCAGGAACACACCTGCTATGATGCCATGGCCACCAGCTCCAAACTGGTCATCTTTGATACTATGCTGGAGGTAAGACTGGTTTGACCCTAGTTGACCTCAGGACTCAGCCTCCTGCCTCAGTAGCTGCCACTAATACACTCCTGGATGTCTTGTCAAGCTATGGTCCCTGCAAGTCCCTTTCTAGGACTCCTTAGCATCACAGAGAAAATAGGGTGAGAGCATGGCCTGTGGGAATCCCCTAAATGCCATCACAGCTCTGTCACCTTGAATCTGTCAAGCCTGGGGTTGGTCTCTTTATTTCCGTCATCTATAAAAATACAGACCAGAGGCTTGCTCCTCCCTGTATCAAAGGAGTCTCAGGACAACCCAAGACAAAGAAAGAATACTCTGTTAACTGTGAAGTGTATGTAAGACATCTCGGAGTCACTCGGGACCAAGAGGAGGGTACCCTGGCAGCAGGAAAAAAAAAGCAAGTTCTTTGGTAGCTCCTCTGCCATTAGACTAAACTGACTCCATTGTTATCAGTGTTGCCACAGAGCAAATGATGCATACATGCTCGAGGCACGGTATATGTGTCGTCCACAGAACCCAATCTGGTTCCTGTGCTTCACAGAAGAGTATATTTAATTTTGATAGCTTTGCTTAATCTTGATGTGTGATAAAGAGTTGGGTGCAGTGGTCCACATCTGTAATCCCAGCACTGAGGGGGCTGAGGCAGGAGGGTCTCAAGTTCCAGGCCAGCCTGGAAACCAAACAACAACATAGCGGAAACACAGAACAAAAGGACAGGAGAGAAGAAGGAAAAGAGTTAAGGAAAGGGAAGAGATGGGCAGGAAGGAAAGAGAAGATGGAAACCAAGCATTTTCAACACACATGGATAGTTTTGCTCAGGATAAGGATCCGAACAAGTTAGCATCAAATTTAGTGGGGAGCCTGTTGTAGCTCTGCCTATGGTATGTGTGTGCATGGTGTGGTGTGTACCTCTAGTATTTAGATGAGCAAAAACTATACCATGTCTGTATGCACATAGCCTCCACATGGAAGCCCTGATGTGTCTAACTATTGTCTGTCCCTCAGTGCCTCCAGGCACAAGCATCCTTATCTGTGTGGTAAACATGATGACAGTAGTCTTATGGAGACTCGTGCATGCGGAGAAGAATCAGAGAGAAGACCCATGGGAGAGCCCAGGTGGGGAATGCAAGTGGGGATGATGAGGGACTGTCAGTCCTCACCCTGCCATTGTTCTTTCCTGATCCTCAGATTAAGAAGGCTTTCTTTGCCATGGTGGCCAACGGTGTGAGAGCAGCCCCTCTGTGGGACAGCAAGAAGCAGAGCTTTGTGGGTGAGGAGAGGTGGTTGGGGAATGGCGGGAGAGACCTCACATGGTGTAAGATTGGCAGCAGGATGGGCTCCTCAGTGAGCCTGAACCTAGGCCCGACCTTCCCCCAGCTTGTCACCTGTCAACCCTGCAGGTATGCTCACCATCACAGACTTCATCCTGGTGTTGCACCGCTACTACAAATCCCCCCTGGTGAGTTCCGGGGACAGGGGCATCTTCAGGAGGCCTGATACTCCAGAACTCATGCCTGACCCTAAATCCTACCAATGCCTTTAGGTCCAGATCTATGAGATTGAAGAGCATAAGATTGAGACCTGGAGGGGTAAGTTGGAGAAGATTGTGGGGTTAAACTGGGGACCCAAGGCCTGGGATTTCCTGGAGGGTACAAGCCAATGGGGGAAGCCTCAAGTACCTGCAGGAAGGGAAACTGTTAGGAGACAGGGTGAGGTGACCGGGGACTCCTGTGGCCTGACTCGGGTTTTTTTCTTCAGAGATCTACCTACAAGGCTGCTTCAAGCCTCTAGTCTCCATCTCTCCCAACGACAGGTAAATATCTTCTCTGTTCATCTGAGCGATACACCCCTACCCCACCCAACTCCACCCCCATCTCAAAGGTTTTTGTTGTGACATTTATTACTTGCGAGCATGCATGCGTGTGTGTGTGTGTGTGTGTGTGTGTGTGTGTGTGATTATAGTGCACATGTGGAGGTCAGAGGACATTTTTCAGGAGTTGGTTCTCTTCTTCTGCCATCTGGAATGCAGGGATTGAACTTAGGCCATCAGCCTTGGCAACAAGAGCTATCGGGACTGGGCCATCTTACCATCTTGACTCGGCCTCTTGAATCGTGCCCTTGTGCTGCTCCACTCAGTCAGCCCTGAATTCACTCACTTCTTCTGGGAAGCAGAGGGATGAGGGACCCTGGTGTCCTGTTTGAGGGCCCTGGAGGGAGGGTCTCTCCCATTTGCTCCTAGTCTCACTGCTGCCTTTCTTTGAAGTCTGTTTGAAGCTGTCTATGCCCTCATCAAGAACCGGATCCACCGCCTGCCCGTCCTGGACCCGGTCTCGGGCACTGTGCTCTACATCCTCACGCACAAGCGGCTGCTCAAATTCCTGCACATATTTGTGAGTCTGGGATGGTGGGAGCAAGCAGGGAGCCATGGGAGACACTGATGGTCAAGTGTCCTAGCCCAGGCAAAGGGAGGAAGGAGCTGGAGGCCCTGGGAGCTGCTTGATCTGATGAGATTACCACTGTGTCCCATCCCAACAGGGTGCCCTGCTGCCCCGGCCCTCCTTCCTCTGCCGCACTATCCAAGATCTGGGCATCGGCACATTCCGAGATTTGGCTGTAGTTCTGGAAACAGCTCCTATCCTGACTGCGCTGGACATCTTTGTGGACAGGCGTGTGTCCGCACTGCCTGTGGTCAATGAATCTGGTACACACCCAGGGTGACAAGCTCTAGCGAGGGCGGGCAAGGAGCATGTGGGCCGGATGTGGCGGCAGAATCTTCAGGTAGTCTGCTGTAGGGCCCAAGATGGAGTGGGATTAGAAGTCCCTGCTTGCTTTGAATTTTGGACCAGTTATTTAGCCTTTCTGAGCCTCAGTTTCCCCAACTGTGAAAGGGAATCCCCTCCCCCCCCCGCCTCCCCACAGGGGTGTTGTTTTGAGATAAGTTATCATCCTGTAGCCCAGAAACTTACTATGTAGCCCACACTAGCCTCAAACTCGTGGCAGTTACTCTGACTCCTAATGCTGGGGTTTGGGAATGTGCAACCATGCCCCTTGTGTGGAGGGGACTCTCTCGTCCTTTATGCCTTCGAAGGAGCATAGATAAGATTATCTGCAACAAGATGACTATGGTAGGAGGAAATGGCAGATCCTTTTGTGTTTGTACTAGTCCACCCTAAAATTGACCATGGGATCTTATGTCCCCAGCCAGACCTTTAGGTCCTGTTCTAGAAAGATCAGAGGGACAGCAAGGGTATCTCTTTAGTTAGACTGTGTCACAAGTTATTTCATAGTTGGGACTGGGGAAATGGCTCAGTAGGTAAAGAGCTTCATGGCTAAGCCTGAAGACCAGAGCTCAGATCCCTCAGCATTCATACAAGTGTGGATGGTATGGAAGCCTGTAAACCCAGGGCTCAGGAGGTGGCAGCAGGGGATCCCTGGGACAATGAGCTGACCAGCTAGACCAGCTGGATTCTGGAGTATCAGGTTTAGTGAGAGAGCTTGCCTGAAAAAACAAAGTGGAAGGTAATAGAGGAAGACGCCTGGGATCAACCCCTGCCTCCACACACACACAAGCATACACACACACATGAGCACACACACACACATGCCCACACATGTGACAACACACAGACACACACATATAAGCACACACGGAAACATGCCCACACATTGACAACACACACACACACACACACACACACACACTACATATACTGCAGTAAAAAGAAATAACTCAAAGATATATATACCAGAATGAAGTTGAATATTATGAATATTATTTATTAAGCTTTTAAATTATACATAAATTTCAAAGGAAATGAAATGAAAGAACAGTATATCGCCATGATCAGCTCATCGTTTTTCTGAAGAAAGTCAGTTGCAGACATTGGATCATATCGTCCCTAGCACTTCAGTCTAAATCTCCTGCAATAAGCATATTTTATGCAACACAACTGTGAATAACTGGGCAGCTGAGATGGCCCAGCTGGCAAAAGCGCTTGTCAGTTAAGCCTGATGGCCCAAGCTGACTCCCCGGAGCACACGGCAAGGTGGAAGCAGAGAACCAATCCTGAAAGCCGTCCTCCTCTGGCCCCCACATTCACGCCGTGGCACGTGCACGCACAGCGATAGTAAGCAGTGTGCAAAGGCTTTGTGACGTTTATTTCATCGTTTAGGTGTGTGTGCACATGCATGTGTGTGCCTATGTGCCACAGTGCCTACAGGGTGGTCAGGAGACAACTTTCAGAAGTCAGTCCTCTCCTTCCACTGAGCGAGTTCCAGGGACCAAATTCAGGTTGTCAGGAATTGACAAGTCCCTTTACCCACTGAGCTATCTCACTGCCCCTTAAAGTATCTTTTTAAAAAGGGAACAGTTATTTTTAAAACTATGAATAATTTATTGTGACCTAATTTCCAATCCTTATTCTCATTTTCCCACTTCTCTCAAGAATGACTTAAAAAAAAAGTAACTTGTTCAATCCAAGTCCAAATGAAGTTCATGTTTCTTGTTTCTTCATTTGTCACTGAAGTCTGTTTAAACCTAAGACTGTTCCATTTCTTCTCGTTTTCATGGCACAGGTCACTGGAAAAGTCTGAATTAATTTTCCTATATCCTACCTTCAAGGATATAGAGATAGCTCAGCAGACAAAGACGCTTACAGCCAAGCCTGGTGACCTGGGTTCAATCCCCAGGACCCACACTGTAGGAGAGAACTGACACCTGAAGATTGTCCTCTGATCTACATACACACACACACACACACACACACACACACACACACGCACGCACGCACGCACGCACGAACATGCACTAACAAATATAGATTAAAAAGTTAAGAAAAGCATCCCATGTCCAGATTTGTCCATTTGCCTCCTGGAGGTTGCCGTGCCTCATTCCCATGTTCCTGTTTCCTGTGAACCAGAAATTGAACCTAAATGATAAATATCTGTACACTATGAGGCTGACATATTTCGCAAGTGATACCATGTTCTCCTTGCTGCTCACAGGAGCCTGAAGTCAGGCATCTCAGTGATAATGCTAAGCCTAGATAGGGGCAGCATGGGGGGACTATCAAGGAACTAGTTTCAAAAGTTGTCCCCATGTACCCTGAAGAACACCCTGGTTCTGAGCTGTGCTCTTCCCTGTCTTTTTTCTCCATTCCCTGCTGCAGGTCAGGTCGTGGGCCTCTACTCCCGCTTTGATGTCATTGTAAGTGTCTATGGGGACTGGGGAGGCTACGGGGAGGCTACAGTATGAGGCTCAATGAGAAGTATCTGTTGCTACCCTTTGCAAGAGTGTCGGAGTGCAATCTCCAGGCTACAGCCTAGGTAATGAGGTAATCCATGACTCCCTTCCCCCTGCCCCAGCACCTGGCTGCCCAGAAAACCTACAACCACCTAGACATGAGTGTGGGAGAAGCTTTGAGGCAGAGGACACTGTGTCTGGAGGGAGTTCTCTCCTGCCAGCCCCATGAGAGCCTGGGTGAAGTCATTGACAGGATTGCACGGGAACAGGTACCTTGCATCCCTCCCGGCATGCCCTCGGCATAGATGGCCTAGTTCTTTGCATAGCCTGTATGCTGGGCACTTGACCTGACTTCCCTCTCATGACCAACTTTTGGCATCTGCATTGGGAGGTGTCTGGTCCTGTTCATAGGGCCCCCGTGCCAAGATCCACAGCCAGCTGAGTGGCCAAAGCCATGGCCAACTGTTCCCAGGAGATGTCCTTTGCTCCTTGAGCTGTGTTAAGCTTCCCCCTTATTAGCTGCTATAGCCAAAGGCTCTGCCCCTCCCTGAACACTGTGGACCCACAGGTGCACAGGCTGGTGTTGGTGGATGAGACCCAGCATCTTCTGGGCGTGGTCTCTCTGTCTGACATACTTCAAGCGCTGGTACTCAGCCCTGCTGGCATCGATGCCCTCACTGCCTGAGAGTTCCTGAGTCCTCATTCCCGAGTCATCTTCCTCACCTGAAAACCAATGAGAGGATCTAGGGGAACTTGGCCTTCATCTTCTCCCACCCTCGTTTGCTGGTTCTGCTCTGGTACAGGTAGGCTCTGCCATGAGCTGTAGGGCTAGTACCTCAGTCTTTCTGAGATCCTTTACCTCAAGTTAGGGTACCCTGAGGATGACAGTGGCACCAGCCATGACTGAGCAGCCCCATAGAAACTGCCAACAAAGGCTTTACAGACCACTACTTTGTCCCATTTCCAGCTGAGGTTGTGGAGGTCCTGCCGGAAGGGATGGGTGGAGGTGAGGCGTCCTGAACTCTGGGAAGGTATAGCTGCCTTCTCTCCATGCTGTTCCCACCGGGAATTTTTTGAGAATAAAACAAGCTAGCAACCTTTTGTTGAATGTGTTTCTATCATCAGTATGGACTAATAAGGGAGGGAGTTTCCACCTACTGCTCATCTTATGAATTTGTCAGATTGTGGACTGTCCTGGTACCATGCTTGGTTGGGGGGCATTGCCAAAGAATGGGGCAGAAATTCCACCCAGTTGGCAGTAGGGTGAGACTCCTGTTGGGAAGGCACCTCCTCTTCCCGATTTGCTCACCATTTCCTCTTTTTCTCACAGGCTTTCCAGCCTTCACTAAATTGTCCTTGCTGTACCTCTACTCCCAGAAGCTTTTGGGCATGCGCAGAACACCAGGATGATGAAATTAAGCCCAATCAAGTCAAGCCTGAAAGTCCTGACCCAGAGGCACTGCGATCAGCCTAGAACAATGTGTGTGCCCCGTGCTTTCTTATGCCCTTCCCTCCGCCTGGGTCAGGGCTGATCTCAGTGTGGCAGTGAGCATTTAGCTGGGAGCCTGGAATGCTTGGTTCTGGATGCATGTCCCCAGCTCCTAGGAGCCCTGGTTGTTCTTTCTCTGTGGAAGCCACCATTGTGCCACCACCATCCTACTCTCCTGGCACTTCCAAGCTGCTGGTGGCCAATGTTGAGCAGCCCTTGATTCTAGAGCTGCCTGCTGGGGCTATAGTAGACATTCATCATGGCCCAGCAGGTGGCTTTTACTATCTACAGCTGAAATGGGACTGTCACGGTGTCCTTTTTGGGTGTCTGTAACGGGTCTGCCATTGAGGTCTACAGAAGCATGTGGTATTCTTGGGGCTCCTGACATTGCTGTACAGTGGATTCCTTAGCTCTCACCAGTGAGCACTGTTCTGCTCCCCTCAGTGTCCTCTACCCCCAGATAGATTTAGATCTGAGAATGAGCAATCAAGAAAGAAGAGCAAGCCATGACCTCAGATGCTATGGGCTTACTCAAACACTGCAGTTATTGAAATGAACTTGTGGCAAGCTCCTTGTGTCTCCTGAACTCAAAGACTTGAAGGAAAGTCTGAATTATCAAAAACTGCAAGTGGCCTTTATTTTGTGGGTAGACTGTTGTCTTTGATTTGTAACGAAATGATAAGGAAGACATTTATTAATTACTCACATAGTAGGTGAAACCCAGTCTACAAATGGGAGTCTGCAGGAAACATAACTGATCCTGTAATACTGGATGTAATTTCTACAATGAACTCAATTCACCAAGTAGAAAGAAATTAATCTCAGTTAAGTCGGGGTCTCTTTATCTGCTGTTACCAGGCCCCCTGATGTCATGAGCCCTCAGATCCAGAGGTCCAACACAGAAAGAGTGGATTCATATTTCTACAATCTTTTAAAATTCTTTTTCACTTACTTATTTCATTGCGTGTGCATGCAAGCATGAATGTGCCACAGTGGAGTGTGATTGTGTGTGTGCATGGGGGTGTGAGTGTCCCACAGTACAGATCAGTGGATGACCTCAGGCATGGGTCCTCCCTTCCACCTTGTTTGAGACAGGGTTTCTTTGTTGTGCCTCTGGGGATCTCCTGCCTCTCCCTCTCATCTCCTGGGACTGGAGTACTAGGATTCCAGACTCCACTATTCCTGTCTTGTTAAGCTTTACATGAATCCTGGGAATTTGATCTCAGGGCCTCACACTTGTGAGCCAAGTGTTTTACCCACTGAGCCGCTGAGCCGTCAGCCCAGCTCATTTGCTTTCCTCTCCTCCTCCTTCTTTTTAAATTTCTTTTGAGACAGGGTTTCATTACATACCCCTGGCTGGCCTAGAACTCATTATGTAGGCCAACATGGTGTCAGACTCCTAGAGATCCACCTTCCACTGCCTCCCAAGTGGTGGGATTAAAGTCATATGCCCCCATGCCCAACTGGTTAGTCCCATTTTTTATTTTTCTTGGGGGGGGAGATCTTCATACTGTTTACCATAATGGCCATGCCTTTAGTAGTTGAAGTACAGACTATGAACACTGACCTCCAAACTCTAATCCCCAGTCACACAGACACCCCACTCCGTTGCTCAGGTGAGTATTAAGCTCCTGGGTTCAGCCAACTTTCCTGTTTCAGCCTCCAGGGTAGCTATAGCTATAGGCCTTCACTGTGGTACCCAGCGGGTGGCTTTTACTATCTAGAGCTGAAGCAGGACTGTCACAGCCCTTTTTGGGTGTCCATAAAGAATCTGTCATTGAGGTCTACAGAAGCAAATGGGTCTCTCGGTGCTCCAAGAAGTAGGTCCAGCAGGGCCACCCACCATGATTCTAAGGTGCAGAAAGACATTCCCCACAAAAAGAGGGTCAGATGCTGAGTGATCAAAAAAGAACAACAAAGACCCCACCAAATTTGAATTTTAAATTTTATTTTAAATCGGACCCAAGGATTGCCATGTGATATGCAGTGCTCTACTGTCTTGAGTGGGTGATGCTCAGTAGAGATTGTGCCAGACATTTGGGGTCTATGGGAAGGGAATAGAGCTCCCCTGTCAAATCAGACATCCTGACATGTGACATGAGACTGGTCAGGGACAGCTGTGCCAGGGTTCCTGGAGAAGCCCCATGGAGGCAGGAGCCCAGCTCAGTATTGTCTCTGCAGAAAGCGCAGGCTCACCTTCCTGCTGGGAACCAGGACAATGCGGGCCACAGACTTCACTTCCCCCATCTCAGGATCCAGAACCACTTCATACTGTTGTATCAGCTGGCAGGGCGAGAGAGCAGGGCCACTGGAATCTTGATTTCTGTTCCTTCTGTAGACATCTACCCTGGACCTCCCTGCCCCTCCTCTCCCTGAATCCCTCCATCTTACCTGACCCACACAGCCCTCCCCACATCCCTGCTCACCCTTGACAGCAGTAGTTGCATCTCCAGTTCTGCAATCCTGCGGCCCAGGCAGGACCGAACCCCGTAGCCAAAGGGCACGGAGCCGAATGGGTGTTGGACCCTGGAGTTTTCAGTCTCTTTCTTCCTAAACCATCGGTGAGGCTGGAAGCTCTCAGGCTCAGGAAAGACACTGGGATCCCGGGACACCACGTAGTGGCATAACACAAACTGGGTCTACAGAGGAAGAATGGCATCAGTAAGGGCTGCAGGCATTCCTGGGCACCTGGTGCTCTAGCCCAACTCACGTTCTTGGGGAAGAGGAAGCCATCAATTTCAGTTTCCTTTTCTGTGATGATCCGGGAGTTTGTGGGGACCACAGGGTAGAGGCTGCAGCGAAAACAAAGTCTAGACTCTGCTTCCAGATAGGGTGCAGAGGCGTCTTACTCATCCCTGGCTTTCTGGTGCTGAGACCCTCTTCCCATATCACTCTTGTCCCTAGCCTTGGGCAGTCCCCACTTTCCATTCCTGCCCGATTACAGATCCTATGTAGACCCTAGGCACATGGAATCATGTCCTACCGAAGGGTCTCCTTAATCACAGCTTTGAGCAGGGGCATGTGGGCAAAGTCCTTCTGTTGGGGCACCTTCCCGAAGGGCACCACACCCACCACTTCCTTGTGCAAGGCCTCCTGGATTTCTGGATTCTTGGAAAGGTGATACAGGGCCCATGTCAGCGTGTTGGATGTCTAGGAGATAGAATGGGAGATGAAGATGAAGTAAGAGGACAATTTCTAGGGAAGAGGATAGCCAAGTGGTGGGAGGGTCTGTGAGTGGATGTAAATACAAGAAAGCTGACTTGCCACCAGGATGACAAGAAAAAGATATGATGATGGTTCCTGGGGAATCTCTGTGCTAAACGTGAACCCACAGGTTGAACAAGGGCCGATGTGGAGGAAGGTTGCATTTCAACCACTGAGGGGACTATAGCACGTAACAAGGAAGGAGCATGTCACAAAAACTGCTAGAAATGAGTCCCCTAAGTAGAGAGGGTGCTTGTGGATACGTTTCCAATTCTATACCTAAATCGCAGCAAGAGAGTTGGAATTCTGTGGGATGGAATCTCCCGGCTGGGGGCAGACAGACAGACAGACAGACAGACACACACACACACACATACACAGAGAGAGAGAGAGAGAGAGAGAGAGAGAGAGAGAGAGAAAGACAGACAGACAGACACACACACACACAGAAAGAGAAAGAAAGACAGACAGACAGACACACACACACACACACACACACACACACACACACACACACACACACACACAGAGCCAGGGGCCCAGACCTTGATGGAATTCCCCTCACAAAAAGGCGAGTCCTGTTTGCCTCAACTGGGCAAACAACCGCAGTGATATAGAAGAAGCTAGTATAAGAGACGAAGATGTGTGTCAGGAGGCAGGGTGGGAAGAGTACAGAATAAAATCAGGGAGTCCCTGGTTTCCCTGTCAGCCTTCCTAACATACCGTGTCCACGCCAGCCAAGAGCAGCTCAGGAAAGGTGCCGATGGCCTCCTCAGGACTGAGCAATTCATTGGTCAGCAGGAAGTGCAGGTAGCCAGATATCTGGACACCGTCTGGCCCGGCTGCCTGTAGCTGGGCTTCTACCTCCTTAACTTTCTGATCAATCAGCTTCTTCCCTGAAGGGGCCATGGAGAGCAGAGGAAGGTGAGCTTACACCACCGGAAAAGCAGGGAGTGTGAAGGAAGTCATGGGAGAGGCCAGCTTCCTTCCCTGGCCCCAGATTGGGACTCCTCACCAAAGGAAAAAATGTTATCCCAGCCATTCAGGTATCGCTTCCAATAGGGCAACAGAGGACGAGTCCACTTGGGGAGGAACGTGACATAGAGTGAGTTCTGGAACATGAGCCCGACGGATCTGATGAAGGTGGCAGTGTCCTCAGGGATGGAGGGCTCCAGGCAGCCAACCCTTTTCTCAAACAGGACATAGCAGATGGCTGAGAAGTACAGAGGCTGTCACAAGCAGGCAGAGCCAGAGGACTGAGAAAGCCCATTCCTGCCCCAGCCTCTCCCAGCAAGGGTACCTTCCAAGGCAAAGTGGTAGAGAAGGTGAGCCATGTCTGGCACCTGATCCCCCGATGCACTCTCGGCCTGCACCTGGCTCAGCCGGGTTATAAAGTCGTCAATCACCTCATTGAAGGCATTCGTGTAGAGTGCAGCCTCGGCAGGCTTCAGCAGCCGCTTGTTCAAAGCCTGGCGCAGCTGGTACCACTGATGCCCTTGCCTGGGGAATGTGGAGAACAGCACAGGTAAGCACGGGTCCCCAGAGAGTGGAGAGAATCTCAGACTCCTGGAGAACCCTTTACTAAAAATTGTTTTTGAGTGCTGCCGGAACTCCAGACTCCTGTCTGGGGTGAGTTGATTTTTAAAAAGGAAGACAGAATGAACCACAAACCTCAGAGTCCCGCCACAGCACTATGTGAATGGGTAAGGTGGCCTTCTAGAACCTAGAACTACCTAGGCTCAAATCATAGGTCTAGCCAAGGCTAGTGGTACATACCCATATTCCCTATGTTGGTTGGACCATCGTAAGTTGGAGATCAACCTGGGCTACAGAAATAAGATCTTGTCTCCAAATAAAAACAAACCAACAAAAATCATAGGTTTACAGATGACTGCCTGGGCAGCAGGGTTGTTTGAGTACCCAGATGAGTGCTTGGCACATGGTGTTTAGTAAATATTGACTGTAAGTATCTTTGAATTATGCAACTCTGGAATCTTTTGTAGTGCAATGATAAGAGCTGCACCCAGGCCTTCTGTGAGGAGGCTGAGAAATAAAATAGGATCAGGTTGGGGTTCCCTTGCTGCCAGTATTCTAAGCATCCATGCTCTCCTTGGTTCAGTGGGTCAAGGGGACAGGAGACCCACAAAACTGAAGCTTCCAGTCTTTGTTCTAACCACACAGTAGATGCTTAGATATCTATCCTGGTTTACAGGGAGGCCCAAATGGGTAGCAGACATGCTCCAAAGACATGTTTAAGGGCAGTCCCACACTCAACTAACTCCCAAACCCATACCCTGTCCTATGCAAGCTAGATCAAATCCTTAAGGCTAGCTGCAGAGCAACAAATTCAGTGTGGTCCTGTGCTATGAGAAAGAGAGGGACCCCCCCCACACACACAGCTGTGCGTGTTTGCACACTTCTGCTAAAGTGAGAATGAAGACTCAACAATTAACAGCACTGAGCGCTCAGGAGAACAGAATGGGGTGGAGGGGAACACTTAGCACTTCATAACTGAAAATTGGAAATTTTATTTATATAACAACGAGGCAGGAGAATCAAGATCGCTGAGGTCAGTCTTGGCTGAATAATGGGTTTAAAACCAGCTGGGACTACATGAGAT